GCCCCTGTCAAACCTCATCCATGCCTATCAGGCTTTGGGGAATTTTCCTTTCTTTCTGGAAAAGTTCTACCTTTACCCAAGAACATGTTTTTATATTCTTTTAAAGTCAAACGTGTCCACTACCCCTATTTAGAAAAATCCAGAGAACCTACTGTTAAAACATCACACTCAGTGGATTAATATTTTTTTTTAAAGATTTTATTTATTTATTTGACAGAGAGAGACACAGTGAGAGCAGGAACACAAGCAGGGGGAGTGGGAGAGGGAGAAGCAGGTTTCCCGCCGCGCAGGGAGCCCGATGCGTCAGCGGATTAATATTATGAGTGAATAAAAGGATGCCGTCAGTGGGTGTAAGATGGTGAATAAAGTCAGAATAAAAAGCGTGCGACTAACATAAAGTCAGGGGGAGCGGGGAGGGCACCTGGGGCGTGGAGCCTCTAGGCACCTGCTCAGAGAATGCCCTCCCACTCCACGGCAGAAGGCTACACCCACAAACCTGCCTGCTTCCTCATGGCAACCACACGAGTGGGCCTGGCCGGGACGCAGCACCTGCTGACTGGCAGAGAGAGCACCTGCTGGTGCTTCGAGCCCTTGTTGGTCCCTGGTCCCAAGCCACTGTGAGAAGGACTCCGGGTTTTGATCCAAAGGCATCATGGACACAAAACTCGTACTAAGTCAATCTTGACTTTTTGGAAAATGATCTTATTTCAAAACCATTGTTCATTTTTTTTAATTTTACAAAAAATAGTGATTTATAAGTCCATAATCTTTTAGAGAATTGTAAAATGTTAATTAATCATTGGCACCACCATTGATTGTCCATTGAGCCAAAGGCTCATGAGCTTTACACTTTAACAGTTTTTAGGTTTTTTCGTGTCTTCAACGGTTCCAAGGAACACATTTTAATGACGTTCCAATAACAGAGTGGCTGAGTTGTCCCAGAATGGCCATGCGGGTCAAAAGCCAAGTTATAAAAAAGAAGGAGGAGGACAAGCAGGAGAAATGGAGAAACAAAAATCCATAAGAGACAGAACAACGCTATTCTAGAATGACCACACAGAAGACAGGAGCAGATTTGAAAGGACAGCTCAGGTTAGATCGTGTCTCTCCCTCCGGCTTCCTCTTCCATTTTGAGGCCGATAGGATGTCCCTTTCTATGAAAGTTCATACATAGTCTTCATTTTCTCGTTTCTCCTTAAACCTCATGTGTCAGATTATGGCATCCTTAAACCCTCCCAACGGCGCATTAAGCTTCTGGGTGGCAGAGCTAACCAGAGACATCGTTCCGGGCTCCAAAGCCGTGTCCGTGGTTCAGCTGACAAGGCAGGAAGAACAAGGGTAGGCTCCTCCCCCTTGGCCACCGGGCGCCCCGGCATGCCTGGCATTTCGGAAGGGCTTTGTGGGATGCTAGCATTTTTAAGAAGGCCGTACGTCGGGCCCTGTGTCTTGGCAGCGAGAAGAGCAGAGAGAATCACAGGCGGGTGAGGATGATCACGGAAGCCGCCTGTTTGCCGGGGCGATCCACTCGTGCTCACCAGCCCTCCAGGACGGAACCATGAGCAACAGCAACTTCCCCACTCTCGCTTCCAAAGCAGCAGACACCCCCCTTGGCTTTCACAGAGGCTTCAACCTCTCCCGGGAAGCTTCTCCTTTACCGCTACATTGGAGAGGTTTCAGGTCCTAGCTGACCCTACCGTCCTCCCACACATTCAATTGCTCACCTCCAATTTAGTAAATACGTGACCACAGCGAAAAAGCTAGCAGAGTAAGAATATTTTGATTTCCATTTTAGGGGCACCTGGGGGGCTCAGTCCGTTGAGCCTCTGTCTGCCTTCGTCTCAGGTCATGATCCCAGGGTCCTGGGATTGAGTCCCTCGTCGGGCTCCCTCCCTCTCCCTCTGCTGCCCCCCTGCTCATGCGCTCTATTCCTCTGTCTCAAATAAATAAATAAAATCTAAAAAAAAGAATATTTGATTTCCATTTTACATGTTCTGAGTAAATTCCAAAACTTTTTACTTCTTTATTGTGACACCAGCTATCCCCACCCAGCTCTGTGATGGTCAAGAGCAGTCCTTCCCAGCCTGTCTGGCCTGCTCCACCTCCCCTGAAACCTCTAGAATCTTCTAGAAATCCCAAGTTTTCCCTGGAGAATGTTGGCCTGAGGCCAAGGCTCAGGATCACAAGCGACGTCTCATTGTCGGATCTGACCTGAACCCTCACCCTTCCCTCCAGAGGGAGGTCTGCTCCCAAAGGCAGGAATGGGGCCTGCCCGACTGACGGGACCACCATGGAGAGGTCGTGCCTGCAGGGGAAGACAAGAACCAGTTTCCCCAAGACTTGAGCAGGGAGCCCTGGCACTTGAGCATGAGAAGTAAAGAGACTCAGTGAAAACACAGAGCTCCTGGGGTACGCTGCCACTCCGCGGTCACCCACCTGCACCTGTAAGACCTGCCAGCATCCCCAGCTCACCTCCAAGGGACCCAATCACATCCCACCGTCAACCCAGCCCACGTCCACACGGAACATCTCACCTTTCCTGATCAGAAAGGCGGAGGTGTATTCGTGCAATATTCCCCACCTGGATGAGGGTGTCTCCAACACACCATAGGCAGATTCAGATGCCCTGACACACAGGGGGCTGGCGAAGGCGACAGGGCACGGAGCCAGGGTCCTGCACCTCCCGTGGGTCCCTCTGCCCTCCGACTGCCTGAGGACCGACCGACCGGAAGAAGGGCCGACAAGCAGCAAACCACAGGGCAAGGCTGTCTGGACTGGCTTAAGTAAGGGAAGCAGACACAGCTCCCAGGTGGGAGGGTGCTTTCCCGGCCACAGACGGCGGGGTCAGTGCGGTGCACTGGGACTAGGCTCCCACACGTGCGATGACAAGATTAACGTGGATGTCAGACCACGCGGCACGCGAAGCCCCCTCCCAACTGGAGAACGAGGGAGTGGGGGCCCCTTCCCCCCGCGAGGTCGAGGGTCCGTCCTCCGTGTTCAGGGGACGTGCAAACCCAGGCTCGAAGGCGTGGTGGGGGTCTGTCAACACTCCCGTCCTTAACCCAACAGCTGCTCAACAAGGCCAGGACACTCTCCTTCAAGGGGCGCTGAGTCAGAAAAGCACAAACGGAGGAGCAGAGAGCGGGCACGGGCAGCTTCTCTGTAATCTTGGGGGAGGAACGCACAGGTTCCAGCCAGCAGGCCTGACTCCCACCCAGAAAGTGCGTCCTCGGGGCCAGGAAGCTGTCTGTGCAGGGGCCAGCCTGTGGTGCCCTGCAGAACAGTGACCCTGCCAGCGTCCATCCTGCTGGGGAGTCAGCCAGAGGATGCCGGACTTCAGGCTCCACCACCAGCCATTGCTGGGGCTGGAGGCCCAGGGAGGGCACATGCTGATTCATAATTTATGGACAAAGGACCCACGCTGCGGCGAGCAACAGTGAGGGACTTCCCTGATCCCGCTTTGCAGTTTGCGTTCTATATTTAGTATATATTACTGAGGAAGGAAAACCGTGCCCTCACAATTAGAAACTTCCAATGCTCAAGGTCACATTTTCTACTGAATTATAATCTTCCAAGGGCCACTCATCTGTGCTGAATTTACTCCAACCCCCTAAACAGAACTTGGAAAGTGTGTCTATCTTAGAGATACATTGGAGAGAGTTTGGTAATTTGTGGCATAATAAAAAATACGTATTTGGTCTTCATCCCTCATTCAATTCCTGGCAAATCACTTGGCCAGTGATCCAATCAGTCATGCCTTTGTAATGCACCTCCCATAAATAACTGAGTTCGTGAACTCGTGTCCTGAGTGTGCTGCTCTCAGGGGCCCGGAAGCTCATGGACCTCCCCACACAGCTCAAACGCTGGTCTCTTCCATTGGGCTGTTCCAGAGCAGGATCCTTCCTAATAAAACTGTAACCACAAGGAAACCTTTCTCCTGAGCTCTGTGAGTCATCCTAGCAAATTATCATACCCGAGGGGAAGTTGTAGGAACCCCTGCATTTGCAATCAGCCAGGCCACTGGCATCCAGGTCTGAAGCGAGGGCAGTGTTGAAGGACAGAGCCCTTTGCCCCTGGGTCTGGGGGACTCTGTGTCAGTGTCACAACCGACCTGAATTGCAGGACACTCCCTAAGTGTTAGGACGACTGGAGAACTGGGTGTGAACTGTTGGCAGAAGAAGGCTCTTCCCCAATGGTGTGTTCAGCTGAAGACAGAGGGTGGGGGCCACCAGGGCTAGCCGTGCAAAGGAGTTGGGTGCCCAGTCTCTCCAGTGAAGAACATGATTCACCACGATAAGCAGGTGCTCAGGGCAGAGCCAGAGGGCCCAGCAGGTGCCCAACACGCCCTTCCAGTATCGCTGGCCACCCACCAGGGACACCATGCAAGGCTGGTGTCACACCGAGGCCATCAGCAGGTGGCTATTCCTGCACAGAGGGCACCTGACGCAGACACAAGGGCGCGGTCTCTGTTGTCTGAATTAGCTGTTCCTTCCAGCTCTGTCCTACCCTCTAATCTTCAGGTTTTAAAACTAATTTTTATTATAATAACCTTTTTATTCTGCTTCCAAATTACTCCATTATAAAAGGACATTTTTAAAAACCAAAGACAGGGGCTCCCTGGTGGAGGGTATGTTGAGTACAGCACACTCAAAGATCAGGGATCCTCCCAGGGCAGCTGGAGAGAGCCAGACACATCTTTAATTAACAGCCATTCAGTTACTGTGTTCTTGGAGTAGAGGGAAAAAAGCTCTCTGAAGCGTAAGGCATGGCACATTTTCTTCAGACACCATCTTTCACTGATATATATGCAACAGCTTATTATTTCAATACAGATGCGCAAGTGTCTGGGAGCAGGATAACCTATCACTTAAATGCTATTTTTCTTTCTGTAGAGTGTCACACGGTGTGGAGCTGTGGCTGCCACGAGTTGCAAATTAATTTTTTAAAGCCCTGTATTACCTAAGGAACGTGCACTTTCTCGCTGGTGCCTGCAAGCATCTTACCAGGGGGATCCGGGCACCGGGGTGGAGGCCACGGGTCTGTCTCCCTCGGCCGCACTGTCCTCTCTTGTGACTAGTATGGATGGAGGCTCCTTTCAAAAGAAAGAGAAGGACAGCACTGTTTTTTTTTTTTTTAAATTTAAGCACTCATCTTCAATTAGGCAACCAAGTGAAGAATAACAAGTCTCCTGCAGACAGACCTGCCTACAGTACCCACTCGACAATGACCCGCTCAGTACAGCAAAGCAAATGGGACTGAGCAATTATGCTGAGAATACGGAATCTAAGGCACAACAGACCATGCTGAGTAACTCAGACAAAGGCATCTCCCTAATTACCCCAAATTGGCTAAACTATCTGCTTTTGCAGACACAGAGACAGGCAGCAGTGGCCACGAGATTGCTTCTGGATGCCTTAACATCTTGTGGGTAAAACATCACGCGGATTCCTCTCCAGAAATGGGCTGACCCAGAGGCTGGGGTCCAGGGGGTCCGAAACTGTGCACTGTGGCAGGGACCCTGGAAGCAGCAAGGGGTCCTGGGTGCAGCTGGGCAAGCCCGCTTCCTTGTAGCATCCGTGAGGCTGGCCTCCCCTTTCCGGGCATCTGGCTGGGGGCAGCGTTCGGGGGCGTGTGACATGGTGCAGGGGATTCTGGGGCAGAGTTGGGTTGGAAAATCACTCTGTCTCTGTTTAGAAAACAAGGAATGTTTGAATATGACAGCACCTAGAAGAAAATGAAGACTTATTCTTTAATATTAAAACAAACAAACAAACAAACCATGGCTGGGACACTTGCTCATCGTTCATTATGGATACAATTTGGAGAGAAATGGAGGTTGCTTGAGGAATGTGTCACCTCTGGAGCAGCCGAAGGAGAGAAAGGGAGTCGCATCAAGCAGAGTAAACTCTTGCGGTGTGGGGAGGACGTTGTTTTCCTTTTCCCAGCTGTTTCTGTAGTTTTAATCTCAAAGTTAGAATATTACGATACTGGGTTCTCTTTCTCTTAAAAAATCAGGTGAGATTAAAAAACACGAGGACGTGATTCAAAACAACAACCAGGCTCTCAGATGAGAATGTCAGGTGCAATTAAAGCTCTAGATTCCTTGAATAAAAGGGAAAAAAAAAAAAAGGATGCCATCTCGATTTCTCCCATAGCTTGTGCCAGGACGTTAAGGGACACCACTGTAGGTGAGGAGGTGATTAACCGCGTGTTTGGACGGTCGTGGGGCCACACCACCGTGTGCACACCCACGCGTGCCTCGGCCAACACTCATGTACGCCGTGTCAGCCTCCCTACAAACAGACGAGCTGGAAAGGCAAACGCTAAATTATGGGCGCACTGAAACATGAGATTCAGACAAGAAGTTCAAAGAACGCTGAGCGTCTCAGAGCCCAGGGTGAAGAAAGTCCCACGCAGGGAAACGTGGTGCTCCGTTGGGCCATCCCCATTGCCCCCATCCACCCTCAAGACAGGGACTGGGAAGGGCCCCCATGGTCAGGCTTGAGTGGCCAGTGTGAGCAGAGCCGGCGGAGAGGAAGGACAGGAGTCCTGAGCCGACAACATTCCTCTGGAAAGTGCCCGCGGGGTCTCGGGTTGAGGGCAAAGCGGGCATGGCACCTCACCATCAGACGGCGATGCCCGGGAGGTGAGGGGCCGTCTCACTCCTGCGTGAGCATCCTGGGCTTTCCCTGGGCTCCTCCTGTGGCCCTCCATTCGCTGACACAGATAATGATTTTTAATTTATATAATTATCCCTAAGTTAAGTTTAACAATAATTTCTTTTGAATTTTCAGGTAGTAGGAGATGTCTTTCCTTCCTGTGAGAAAAAAAGGTCAGGATAAATAATGAACATAACAGGGAGGACTCAGAAAGTGGTGTTAAAAGAAATATATTGAGACCAGAGTTTAATACTACCAATCCAATTAGAAAAACGAGGGGAGATTTTCATTATGAAGCTAACTGAACACTAGAAACCCAACGAGGGCCTCTGAGCAGTGGATTACCCCAGCTAATTACTCACGCAGATTTGCGGGGCATGATTTGTGGCAGGGACTAACATTTAAATTTGGCAAGGCTGGGACTGTCTCCCGCTAATTACCACTGTCTCCTTCATGGGGCACATGCTGCCCATGATTTCCTGTTGGCGATAAAAATGGCATAAAACTCCCTTTCCGCACTAACGTGATAAAAGTGAATTAGAGGTGCAGAGCCCAGGGATAAAGAAAGTAGTTAAGGCACTAGAAAGGGTATTTGTTTAATAAATATGTAATTCTGGCATGGACGTTCATCTCTTAGAGAGAAATCCTACGTCCGGGAGCAGACGTTCAATGCACGCTAACGTTTGTGACCCACCTTCGCCACCGACCACTGGTGCTAAGGATGGGGAGGGCGTGAACGGGCCAGCGATGGCACCCTCTCCTGAAGTGTGGGGACAGCACACGCGGGAAGCCAGGTCACCACCCAAGCTCCTCCACACAGAGCCCGACCGGCGAGCCCTGGAACGGGACCCGCCGGGAAGGCCAGTGGCTGTTCCCAAAGCCCTTGGCCCCCGCCCCTCTGCTGCGTTCTGGAATCATCCTGCCGGGTTTGGCTCCGTTTCACAGAGCAGACGTCACCACACAAGAACCAGGTGGGAAAACAGGTGTGGGCGGGGGGGGCTGTGTTTCCAGCCCCGAGTCCCCCTCACCTGGGGTTTCACGTCTTTAAAACACAAGCGGAGTCCGCAGACCCACCTTCTCTGCCCCGTCCCCGGCCGGGCTCTTCCTCTTGGCGTGAAGCATGAGGGCGGGAGGGCAGGGCGCTCGGCTGCGCTCTCTGCTTTTATCTGTTGGACCAAAACAACTGTCATTAGCATCCCATTTGTCACGTCACTTTGGAAAACTAAACAAGGACAGAAAGTGGCCTTGAAAATTCAACTTGGCAGCCCACACCACGCATCCCACAGCAAGGTCCCAGGGAAAGGCAGACTTGGGGGCCAAATGAGCCCCCTGCCCCATCCCACCTTCCTCAAGCTGCTGCAAACTTGGCTTCCTCGGCCACATACTCTGGCAAGGAGGCTGTGGGAAGGGGCCACAAAGGCCGGGATCCCACATGAGGCCCCGCCACCTGCCCACGGTGGGCGTCTGCACCTGGAACCCTCAGGACTGCGGACCTGGGTCCAGCCGGCAGGGCAGCCTGTCCCGGAGCCCAGAGGTGGGTCAGTGTTGACCTCCAGGCCCCGGGGCAGCCATGACCACCCCCAGGAGACATGGGTTGGGGCCTGGCAACACCAAACACAGGTCCATGTCCAGATCAGCCCCAGGGAAGGAACAGTCAAGCTTTCACTGAACTGTCTGACCACACCTGAGTCACGAAAATTCTAACATCAGGGCAGTGGGGATACCTTATTATCACTCATGGGGATAAGCAGAGCTCCAGGACTGAGCTAACCTCTCCGGAACCTGTTGGGATTACTCCCCAAAGTCCACCTCCCATCCAGGTGTGAGGAGCAGTGGGGAGCCTGGGCGCCCAGCCCTCTGTGGGCTCCACGTGGGGCCGCACTGCCCACCTGCAGCCCCAGCCCCACGGCACGGGCCGCACGTCCACGCGGAGGGTGGAGCTAAACATGCAAACCACGTCAGTAAGTGAGGCACGGCCTGGGAAAGCCAAGGGGAAGACAAGCGAGACTCAGTTTACTGGGTGTCTCAGGAGCCTGGGTGTTCTGGTTTGAAATCCCGGGACTACTCCGTCGTGTCTTCTGCTGCATGTGGGGACACCTCATCCTCACGTTAACGATGCCTGATTCACCGGCGTCAGCATCAAAGCCGTGTCTGTCCACGCTTCCTCCCCAGCTGCCCGCTCCTTGCTTTACTCGTGGAGACCATTTGTGCCGTGAAGACTCACGACCTAAACATCCAGCAACTTCAACAACAACATCTGCTTCTGGTGGAACCCACCATAGAGCAAGTGTCGGCGATTCAGTAGGATCACAGAAAGACTTTCCGGATACTCTGCCCCACCCCACCCATCCGATGGGCCCAGGCCAGTAACAAGACTCGAGACCCCAGGGATCCCCATCTCGGCTTCAGCCCATGGCCCCTGGATCCCACCACCCACCACATGCTCGAGACCGAGGGTGCCCAGGAGGCATCAGAGAAGTGGTTCTGGAGCCCCTGGCTCTTCTCTCCGCCTCAGCTGAGCAAACGGAACTGGGAGAGCGTTTGCATGGAAGGATGTCCAGACCGGCCAGAGACACGCGTGGGCTGGCGTCAGGGGGACCGTGGAAGACAGAGCCCCAGAGGGTGGGTGGCTGCAGAAGCCACCAGAGCAGCTTCTATAAGAAAGAAGGAGGCCGGCCATCGGGAACCCTGCCGAGGCCTCGGGGAACAGCACTCCCAGAGCTGCCAGGCACGACCTCAGACCTGCATTCCCTGCTGCACCAGAGAGGCCGAGAACTGAGATGAGCTGAGCCCACCCTCCTGCCTCCCTTAGGCAGGCCTAAGGGGCGGAAACACATGGGCTTGGGCCAGAGTCCCACTCTTCGGGGATGGCCCTGGTCTCCACTGATGTGGTTCCTGCCCTGGGACCTGCTTTGTCGCTAGAAATGAGCAGATGGTGGCTTACTTCCTGCCGCCACCCGAGCCAGAGCCATTGGTCTGCATTTCCCGCAAACTCCAAGGGGTGGAGCAGGCAGCCCAGGAGGGTGTACCGTCATTCTCCACGACGGACCCCGTGTCTGCCTGTGGCGGCCCCACGAAGATCACGGCCCCCGTGAGCCAGCATGCATGTCGGGATCTTCTCCCGTGTTTGGAGACTTGGCAGTAGGGCCGCGGGCTCGCCGGGCTAGTCTCAAATGAGAGTTGCCGCACTCAAGTTTATTCCCGATACCCCCTCATTATCTTGAGAAGACATCTGACAACCTTTCTCTTATTGAGAATGGTTGATCCTGGTAAACAACAGCTGTTCAGATCTGGCTTTTGAGGTCAAAGCACTTGCACTGTCAGTGAGGATCCTCCCAAAGTCCTGAGTTACAGCCGTGGGCCGCCAGGCCCCCCAGGACAGGTGCTGATGCTCCCCAGACAGGTGCCAGGCTCCCTCGGACAGGTGCTGTGCAGGGCACGGCCTCCCCAGGAGCCCATCGCCTCTGCTAATAGACGCGGGTTCGCGGGGGCCGCTGCGCCTTGGGCTCTCATGCGGAACGGGGTCGGTGTCTGGGCTGTCCCACTGCGGACGTGCTCGCTGCTTGGCTCCCCGTGGGCCACTTCTGGGGACAGCTCTGAGATGCTCAAGGACTCCTTGCTCTGGGCCTCTCCACAAAGCCCAATGATGTCAGGAAAGGCTCCCTCGAGTGTCCAAGAGAGCAAGTTGATGGAAGACGTTCTACAAGTCTGGATGCCCAGGGCGACGAGGCAGCTAGGGCTGCACGATGTGTTCCAGGGTGGAGGGGGCCGGGCGGCCAGATCTTTCAGTGCCGTCCACCAATCGATCACGCCTGGTGCCACGATCTGAAGTGCTCTCAAATGGCCTGCAGTTCGATTTTGCTCCTGGCAGAGCTGAGAGGCCAGGGGCTCAGGAAAGTCCGCATGGAGGTCTGGAAGGATGGAAGGCCTCTCTGCTGAAAATCACCACATCCGTCACCTGACAAGTGCTGATGTGCATCTGGCCCAGTCCCAGGGCAGTGGGGGACATGCAGGAAAATGATGCAAGCAATTAGCCGGCTCTTCCCTCGAGTCTGTCAAGGCTGACCCAAGGCCAGGACACAGCGACAGCCCTGGGAAGGCGCACAGGGGCCGTAACTCAACCCCCTGAACAAATCAGGGCATCGGGCCACCGATCAAAGACAACTCCAGGGCACACGACGGGGCAGCAGGTCTCGTGGGAACTGGACCCTCTGCTCAGCAAAGGCTGCTTCTATTGGACAAAGTGCCAGGATTTTTTTTAAACATTCAAAAAATTGTGTTTTTTTAATTATTAAAATGAACTGCAAACAAAAATACCTAACGTGTCAAAAAGATAAGAGAAATATATCAGTATCTCCTAATTCAAAGGAACATTCTACGTTCCATCTAATTCTAACTCAGTAAATATTGACCTCCCCTGGTCCCAGTCTCCCCATCCATAAAATGAAATGATCTCTCAAGTTCCTCCAATTTGGGGATTCTAAAAGTCATCTCGGTACTGGGAACTATGTGGGGTATATCCCAAAGAAAGAGAAGTGACCTTGGGGGGCTGGTGAGAGAGTCTTCTGGGTTCCCATGGGGGAGACGGGTCAACTCTGGAAAATGGATTAACCCCAAGGAAGAGGGCGGGAGAGAGAATTCACCGTTTCTATCCTGAAAGCCAGTAGTGACCTCAGACGGATGGCTCCTTTGGAACCAACCTCCTCTGATGGATTTGGAATTAAGTGGGAAATCTCCTCTGAGGCTAAGGGACCCCTGACCCACCCATGTCTCCCCCATATGACCCTGACGGTGATGTCCCAGGGTGGCATGAGGTTGAAGGGGACAGTGGGACAACTGAGTCCTCTGGCTGGTACAGACCACGGGCCATATAGGAAGGGTTTACGAGGAGAATCCACACCACGACCCCAGTGTACATGCTGGCCTCAGCCTGCAGTGTGCTGGAAGTTAACAGTGAGACAAGCCCCACGGATGGCCCGTTGCAGGGCACCATGCCCAGAAACAGGTGTCTGTCCCCAGGGACCTCCATTCATGACAGGCCGGTGTAGACAGGTGAGTGTTAGCGGACAATCCTGGAGTCACGGGGGCTCCATTTTCTGGGTTTGCCGGTGAGGTGACCCCCTTTCCACATTTGAATGTTCTCACCTCCAGGAACAGAGAATTTATCAGGTACGAACAGAAGTGTCTTAAGGGGTTTACTGAGCAGTGTTTTGACCTTGCACACCGCCCCCCACCCCACAAGAGCCATCTTGACATAATTTCCCCAACGCTTGGGCCGAGCAGGAAGCATTATCTCATTTACATGGAAGAAAAACAGACCAGGTGAGTCATTCCCCAGGTTACAAAATAAACCATTAGGGAGAGCGGAAATTGTTTGTCAATTTAAATGGCATCGAGCTCCCCTGAGAATCTGACAATAAAATCAAGAGAAAAAGGCAATTTATGTCTCAGGTAATAAAAATGACACAGTCAGGCCCGTTGCATGCGGTTCGAAATGAGGCCTGGACAACACACCGGCTTTCAGGGTGTGCCTCCTGGGGGCTCAAGCATCCAAGGGAGACCCCGTCTCCGGGAGAGCCGGGTTCCGGTTCTAACACTGCCCAGTGGTGAATCAGCAGGTACTGCTGGTCAGGGCACCGATGGACAGACGGACAGAAGCACGACACAGATTCCAGGGCTGAGAACAGGCGAAGCTGGGAGGGCCGGGAGCCAGGGAGCCACGGCGCCTTCGATTGCTTTTCCATCCGAGACCCGGCATCCTGTCCCTGCATTCCTGCGACGTCACCGTGGCCAAGGCCTACCGGCGAGGAGGTTCCCAAAGGGCGGGGCTGAGCAGACGGCCTCCCGTTCTCCCCGCCAGGAAGGAGGAGGCGAGTGGTGAGCTCCTGGGGAGTCCCGCCACCCGGTGCCGGTTCAAGGCTGCAGCAGGGCCCAGCCGGCAGTGTGGCCGGGAGCAGAGGCAGCAAAGGCAGCTGGTCACGGGGGTCTTGTGCTCCCGTCCCCTCCCCCCACCAGGGGACGTGCAGGCTGGGTCCCCCGCCTTCTCCGGGGTGGCCGATGCAGCCGGGTGGTGAGGCCACGAGTCACAGTAGCCGGACATCCGGAAGTGAGGCTGCCTGTGGTGAAGCCGAGGCTCTGAATGTCCACACGGACACGCAGTTACGGG